TATCATTCCAAATTTGCCTCAGAATTGTTGGAATTAAATTATTTGTTTTAAATATAATGTGGTATCTACTCAAAAGTTCAAACCAACTTTATATCCATATCTTTGTAAATTACACATATTTTGACAGTATAATTTTTTTTAGCTATTGCAAACCTATTAACCTTTTGGCTAAGATCACACATTTGATTTGATTATGGATTTGGAATGTCTTTTAAATTACTAGGCTACGTGCGGGCGCCAGCCCCAACTTGTTAATTGGGGCAAATCAAGTGACGTTTTTCCGACTAAACGATTTCTCCATTTTTGTACAAATTTTTCTGTGGTGATTCAGATTATATTATAAGAATCACTTTGTCTCACGAAGGAGCCTACATATTTGCCTATAGCTAAAAAAAACTTTTAAAGATCCTTGTACAATGTTGGTGTCAATGATTACAGTTTATCTCCATTATTTTTCGGGTTACACATTTTCGAACTTCCTATTTTGCTTTTGTAGGAAATCATGGTATCCGTAAATCTTTCATTGACTTTCTTCCGTGGGAGATTTTCATAATTCAAAATTTCTGTTTCCTATTTGTTATGAAAATTGATAAACTGCTCCAAAATGAAGGAAACCATCTTAATTTGCTATTTCAAGTTTTAAGTCTCGGAGATTAGAACGTACATTGTGCCGTCATTTTTCTTCAGTATTTCGATAGCGTTATCAATGGAGGCTTTTATTGGCTAATGAGATAATTCGTTGCAGTTTCTCTTTAACCGATTAATCAATCACCATACCTAAATTTCTCTAGAAAAGTGTCTTTGAACAAGTAGGGCGCCAATGGCGCTTTCGAAACAGTTAATCCGTTGCGTTTCTCCACCTAAGCTAATATTTTGTCAAAATTTTTCTGCCATTTCAAGGAAAAAGAGGAAAGTGGCGAGGAATAACTTCTAGTCGAGCGGTTTCTACAGCCGTGGGAAGTAATGATAATATGTTGCCTAATGATGGCTCAAAATTCATCATTTTCAAAACTCTGTAGAGCAAAATAATAAAGTCAAAATTTTTCCCAACAACGGTAGGAAGTTCTGCCTACAACGATTTCGTATTACTGGCATTCGCATTATTAATTCTTCATATTGAGTTAAAATATTTGGTACCTTTCATCAATGCCGTGGCCAGATAATGTAAGTCGCGTATTTTGGACTGTTCAGCTTCAATACATAATTTCATTACAAAAAATAGTAAGTGCATATTCGAAAACTTGACCCATCCTTTCTTGACTCCACTTTGGAACGAGGTCGGGCATGAGCAGGAGAGAATGCTTTTGCAAGAACTGATGTCTACACTCGTTATGTACTTTAGGCTTTTCGATGCAAGTCGAACAAAGATTCAAAAGTATAAAAATAACGCTATTCTATAATCAGGAGCGAGTATCCACAATTTCACAGTGATTTTCCAATTTCGAAGTGTGTGGTTGTAGATGGGCTGCTCTGCAAGAAGACAATACTTTGAAAGATGATCAACGCTTTGATGTAGTGCCAAAGGCCATGCTTTAAAAAGCCGCTACTTTGTAACTCAAGAACTGACTTGAAGTAGAAGTGAGTGAAAATTTTTTAAAGTCTAGTCTTTGATCAGATATCGAAGCTCTTTACACAATACACATAATGTACAGCAAGGTTTTATGTTTGGATTAAAGTTTGCAACTGCCTGTGCTGTGAATAAACAAACCTTATATCACATTCGTTCCCAAGAATGAACTCTTACATATAACACACTCATTATTATATCTGAAAAAAATTATAAAAAACTGAGTTTTCTGAAAAG